ATAATTTCACTGCATCAGTTAGGAATATTTCTTTAAAGATGAAAATAGAGAAGGAGGTTTCTCCATCCTCCCTTTTAATGTCACAACCCACCTAATACATCATAGGGTTATCCCCTCAGTTAAGGCCACCCAGAGCTCCATTTGAGTGCAAACTAGCTATCCACACAATCTACACAATGGGATAATTAGTAGTGCACCAAATCATATGAAAAGAACAGAAGTCCCTACTTCTGTGCCAGAAAGGAGTGGGACAGCTCTGAAAAGGGCAGGGAGGATCGATCGAAATAGAAACATGTGTGGATGCTATAATTGGGTTCATGCCAAACTGTAAAAGCAATGCAAGCAGTGGTCTATAGACTCATCTGGAAAAGCCCAATGGCTTCTAATGTCTTAGCCTTATATTTGCCTGAAGCATCTAATTCCATGAAAGGTAGGGAGGAATGCATGAAGCATAGAAGCGCAAATAAAAAAGAATAACTTACAACAGAAGATCAAAAGATAAGGGGGGGGGCAGGAGAAGGCCAAAATTCTCAATATAGATCTCTTTAGAAGCAATTTTAAATGTGTCTCCCCTCTACACTTGCTCCATCTCATCAACCACCAAGATAACATTATTTCTTCCAATTGCACTGTTAGGATTTGAGTGTCATTATTTAAGTAAACAAAATAGCACATACAGAAGAAGAATGTATCAAGCTTGAAGAAATACCAGGAATCCTTTCCCGGAAAACTACTAATGTACAGTGGACTCTCTACTTACGGAATTGATCCATATTGGAACGGTGGCTGCAGGGCGAAAAGTCTGTAGGTCGAGTCTCCATTGACCTACAGTGCATTGAAAACCGATTAATCCCATAACCGGCCATTTTTGTTCCATTTTGGTTTCTTTCTGGTCTGTAGGTCGATTCTCCGGCTGCAAGTCGAACTTAAATTTTGCAGCCAGAGAAGTTTGTAACTCGAGAAGTCTGTAAGTCGAGCCGTCTGTAAGTCGAGGGTCCACTGTAATGCACATATAACACATATAAAGGACATAGCTACATAATCTCAATTGTAGGAAGCGAGGGAAAAGAAAACCCAAGAAGAACGGGAATAGAGTCAGCAGAATCCTGAGCATCAGTGCTCCACACAGTACAAAATTTTCTTGCAGTTAGTGCTTGTCAGTCTCTTGTCCGGATCTCCTGATATGTTCCCATCTCTTACAGCACTGTTTCATATGCACAATCCACCACTTAAGACTATCTCATGCTGCACCACAGAGCAGTCACCCTGTATCAAACTTTTCTTACAGAACTGTAAAAAAAATCATTCTGAGACACTTTGTTGCTTTGTTGTCAAATTGTTGCTGATTTTCTGATACTGGTGCAATAGCAATATCAAACAACAATCTTGTTGACCAAGGCTTTGTTACTTATTAGGGTCTTCGGTGCCCTTCAAGCAACATATTACATTGCTGTCTTAGGTTTTAAAAATTCCTGTCCAAAGCAAAGTTTTACCATGTGTTGAGTACCCCTCTCTACCCCCCAAATGAGAAATTGAAATATGCTACACTGAAAGCAATAGAAAGATGTAAAGAGGGAACAATCGCCCTAGCTTTGTCAGAACTCATGGCAAATGACCGAATTTACTGGAGTTTCTGTTGACTATCAAGACTAAAAGAGCCCATTTCCACATTATAGCTATGCACAAAAATCTGTAACAGAAATACTTTCACAAATATCTCACTGTGAAGGAGGCCCAAAGGAGAGTGTGCAGTCTCATGAGACAGAGGAAGGAGTAAGGGGATTGGAACAGAAGAGTATTGATGTGGAATTAGACTCAGAGGTGAACATGGCTGAGGAGGGGGAGAAGGAAAGAGTTGAAAGAAGGGGGAAGGGGGAAATATGCCTGGTAGAGGAGAGCGAGAATCAGAAGGGGAGGAGCAAGAATTGACCGTGAGGGAGGAGAGTATAAGTAGTCAAGGGGAGCGGCGGTTTGAGGCAGAATTGGGCAAGTGGAAATGTAAAAGAGAGCTGGAGTGATCGCGGGAGTATGAGAGAATAAAAAAAACAGGAGCTATTGCGGGATTTTCCAAATCTGAAGTTAGGGGGATTGCTGCCAGATCCTACACCTAAAGAGGCAAGTGAGGCAAAATTATGAGACTTTGGAGTGGACAGTGATAGTATTCCCAAAGGGGAAGGGAAGAGGACAACAGGTGATACACCCCGATTAGAGATACAATACTCCTCCATCTGAGGGAGATTGGGCCCAGCACTCATGCTGCGGCACCACCTGTGCAATGAGGAGTGCACCCCTCCAGAAACCCACCGACACGGAGAAGTTTGGCCCAGCACCCCTGTGAGTTCAACAGACTTTGGGCGGGAGTTTGTATCGGACCGTTATGGCTTATTGCCGGAGTTAAGTGTTTTTGATCCAATTATGAACAGTGCTGATCCTTACGTAAATAATAAAGACAAAGGTGTTAAGAGTTAAGAAGACGTCTCCTGTGATATTTCCCGCACAAAATGAGGAGTTCTTAAAATTTTAAATTGAACCCGATCACATTCACAAATATGGTAGGTTTAAGAATTTAAGAACAGCACAGGCCAGTGGTGTGCTGCAAATGCTTTATGCAAAAAGCCCAGAGTTCAGTCCCTGGCATCTTGTGTTCCAAAGGATTTGGATTCAGAGGGCGAAAACAATTCCTGCCTGGGACCTAGGAGGGCTCTTGCTTCTCAGACTGTGCCGTGCTGGGTTTGCTGGGCAAATATAAGGCAGCTTCCTAATCAGAGCTTAGGAAAGTGATTTTTGGACTCTCTGAATCCCAATGGGACACTATCCATCTGCCCTAGCACACCAGACTCCACTAGGCAGAATTTCTCATGATTAAATTTTTTTAAAGGTGTGTGTGTGTGTGTGTGTGTGTGTGTGTGTGTGTGTGTGTGTGTGTGTGTGAGGGAGAGGGAGAGAGAGAGAGAGAGAGAGAGAGAGAGAGAGAGAAGCATGACTCAATCTCTAGGATACAGTCTACATTATAACAAAGAACTCAGTTCTTTCAACTGGAATGGGGTTCCCCTGTCTTCATCACTACAGAAGTGGAGCCACAACACTGCAGGTGGTGCTTGTTTATTCTTTCTACAGAATACACAACTTAAAAAGAAGTTCCTTTAAAACTAGTTCTGTGTATGGTCAGAGGGCGCTATACACTTTGAAGCATGCGGTGGGGTTGCAGGAAGCCATTCACTGTGTGAAGAACTCTGTTCCATTTTGGGAACAGATTTTTATTTCATTTTTTGGGGCAATTCTTTAGAATCCTAAGAGGAAAAGTTGTTGTTGTCATGTGCTATCAAGTCGCCTCCAACATATGGCAACCTCATGAATGAGCAGATTCGAACCTGTGGTACCTTGAAGGAGTCAGTACATCTCGTATTTAGACATTCTCTTTTCCTGCTGCCTCCCACCTTTCCCTGCATTATTGTCTTTTCCAGAGAATCCTGCCTTCTCATGATGTGCCCAAAGTAGGCCAGTCTCAGCTTCAACATTTTTGCCTCCAAGGATAGTTCAGACTTGATTTGAACTAGAAACCACTTGTATGTCTTTCTCGTAGTCCAGGGTAGATGAAAAGCTCTCCTCCAGCACCGCACTTCAAATGAATCAGTTTTTTTTCCTGTCAAGTTTTCTTTACTGTCCAGCTTTCATACCCATACATGGCAATTGGAAACACATGAGATGGGGAACAGTCACGCATTGCATAATTGCAGTACCCTGCACATTTTAATTTTTATGTGCATGAGACAATTCTGCATCCTGCGAGAATCCTAAATCAAGTTTGCTGTCTCTCTAATCTCCCCTCCCCATCGCTTCCCATTACAGGAGCTGCAAACACAGCCGTCTCTTATTAGCTCTCATAATGGTCTTGCTGAGAGAGACTCTGTACAATCACTGGTAACTGATCTCTTACTATTGTATCCCACCTGTTACTGGCTTTGGCATGAATCTCCTGTGCCTTAAAAGCCTATTATCCATCACCTGCCACTGACCTTCTCTTCCTTTCTTAACTGCCCTGGTCAGAATTAGCACACTGGGTCCTTGCCTGCCCTGACTTGTTACTCACTCCCTTGATTGTATATTGTTGTTGCTCAGGGAGGCAGTACTTCATCATGGATCAGATTCAACCAAAAACACTTTACCAAAAAAAAAGGTAATCCTTCCTAGCAGCAATAGTATAAACAATGATGGAAAGCAGTTTGGCATGGACATTTATCAGCACAGATTACTAGCTTTCTTTTGGTTGCTAACACATGGTCTTCACTTTGCTGCTGCTTCCCCTTCTACACAAAAAAGTAAACAGATCTGGGGATGAAACGTGGCAGGCAAACTCAGCCCTTGAGTAAAGAGACTATCCGTTTGCAATTTAAAGTCGCAGCAGAGGGGGCCCAAACAGGGCTTGCCAGTAAGCCACTCCTGAGGGCTGAATCTAAGCTTCTTCCCATTCAAAACACACCACAGTAAACACGGTATCCTCTTCTCACGTTCGTCCTTTAGAGGCAAGACTACTGACTGGAAGCCAGGACTGGGCGGACATTGTTCTGCTTGAGAAGGAGCAGCGAATGCCCGCCACCACCTTGAGGCACCCAAGGCCAGTTGAGTCCTATTGCCACCGGAGGCAAAAATCCGCCCCTCTCACGAGCACCTCCGTCCTCCCTGGCAGTCCAAGCGTAACAGTAAGAGCATGCAAATAACAACAAACCTGCTCTTTCCCCAAGACTCCCAGCCCCCCCCTCCCGAAAGCAGCTCCCGCTTCATGTTGCCTAACGATAGGGCCGGGCCGGGCCCAAAGCCTGGGAGCAGATTTCTCTGCTGCCACGAACTACTTGGCCCGGAATGTCTGCAGCCTCTAAATCCACGTCCTGCCAGCCAGCCGCCCACTTTGGGCTCCCACCTCCCTCCCGCGCTCGCTCGCTCGCTCCCGCGCTTTCCCAGGCGGCGCGCTCCCGTGCCCGTGCCCGCGCTCTCTCCCTTACCTGACCCGGTTGTCGGTGAACTTGCTCTGCTGGGGCTGGCTCAAGTAAATGGTGCGGGCTGCTGCCTCCTCCTGGTCCGCAGAGGACGTGGCCCCGGACATCTCATCATCCGCCTTCTTGTAGCCCGAAGAAGAGCAAATGGGTCCTGTCGGGAGCGGGAAGCGAAGGGTGGAGAGGGAGAAGGAGGCGGGGAAGAGAAGGGAGCAATCCGTTAGCCGAGGGGGCAGAAGGAGTCCCCGCCGGGGGCCCAGAGGAGCGAGGGAGAAGGAGGGAGCTTCCCCCCCCCCGCTCGCGCCGCCTGAGGCACAAACCCTTCCGTGCGCCCCTCTCCGTGGACGCCTCCCCCGGCAGTTCCCGCCCCCCGCAAGCCCCCGCGCTTTTGCCAAGCGGCTCACCAGGGAAGGATGAGGAGGATGAGGAGGGGGGTCCCCGGTCTAAGAGGCGCCCCTGCCGCTCTCGCGCTCCGCCTTGCCGGTGCCTCTCACCCCGGCCCTCGTGTGCGTGTGTGGGGGGGGGACCCCAAAGCAGCCAACCGACCGACTGACCGACTGACTGGCTGGCTGGCTACGAGGCAACGGGAAGGAGGCGCACACCTCGCCGCGCGCTCCCGCCCAGCCGGGCTAATCATAAATAGCAATCAAAGTTCCAAGGGGGGAAAAACCCCACGCACACAACAAAAGAGTGGCACACCCTCGAGCGGCGGCGGCGGCGGCGCCGGGCGGAGAGCCCACCCCCTTTATTGATTGGCAGCGACCGCAGCCCGGAGTGGAGGCGAAGGCTCGGTTGCCTTTCCACGGCTGTCAGAGAGGGTTTCGTTTTAGTGGCGGAGGGTCAGTGCTCCGGTGCCTGACTCTCAAAGGCATACGTGGTATTCCCGGACCCGAAAGATAAAGATCTTTCCCAGAAGATGATGATGATAACATTGATTTTTTTTATATTTCTGCCCCTCTTTACAAAACCTGGGAAGTTACTTTTCAGAACAGTAGTGTGATGAACCCGTTCATGACTGAGCACAGGGAGGAAGATGCTTCAGGACACAGAGCATCATCCTGCCACTGCTCAATTATGAGTTGCTACACTATGGCATTATCCTAGTTTTTCCTAAAATTAACTTCCTAAGCTGAGCTTCAGTGACACCCTAAATCTGCTGTCTGAGGCACACACACACACAGACACACACACAGACACACACCCCACTCTGCCTCATGGTAGGGTTGGCCTTCAGCTACAATCAACCTAGGGGGAGGCTAGGACGGTTGTCTTGTTGAAGTAGGCAGAATTTGCAAACCACCGATTTTCTGTTCAAATTTATACCTCAAGCACAGCAGCAATGCACCAAGATAATTTCAGACGTTGCACCTTATAGTTTAAGTAGTGTGCCTCTCTGTGTATGTGTGCTCTTCCTTGCTGCCTTAACTGAACTGGCTGTCGGTGAACTTGCTCTGCTGAGTAAAGCCCTGGACTTCAGTCCCAAAGTCCTACTTTGCTGGTACTACTGAAGAAGTGAGGGACAATTAAACTAATATCGCAGAGTGCAGGAATAAGAACAAACAACTCAGCATCTGTATTCCTTTCCTATCAGCTTTCCCTCGAAACTGCAGCTCGGGTGCAGGATCAGCTCCGGATGCTTTGCCACCAGGGCAAAGGTTAAAAAGGTGATCCTCTGATTGGTGATTCTGATTTCACGGAAGCGATGAACCTGTTTTTGGTTTTACCCTGAACGTCACAGAAGCTATCCAAGGTGCTGAAGCTTATCCCACAAATAGATTCAGCACCTTTAAAGTCTCTAGAATGAAAACCAAACCGAATTCTTTCCCTCTCACTGCTCCCACCAGGGAAAGACCTTTCCACCATTCACAACCCCTAGACTCTTGCACTTTGGGGGGAAAGTGGGCCTGGCTAAGAATGTACTGACAACAGTCTTATCCGTTGCTTCATTCGGCCACCCTTGTTTCCATGGAAATTCAGTATGACAACTCTGGCCAGGATCCGAAGAAAGATTTTGTAACATGTACCAGGATTTTCCTGAGCAGTTCATTCTTTTACAGTTCCTTACACTGCAGACAAGGCTGTTCCCATTTTTTCTTCGTCTTCAAATGGTGCTAGGATTGCTTTTGGATACAGAGCCCCCAGCCATCCCTTACAATTGTCAAGGTCATACAGCAGTCTGCCCCAAACCTGATGTCCTCCAGATCTATTGGTTGTTTTGTCTGGAGAACTCTAGTACAATACATCTGGATGGAGCACCAAGTTCATGAAAGCTGCCACAGACAATTATAAACAGATACCATAAACCTTTACACTTGAAGGAAAAATATTATGACTCGGATTCAATTGGTAGTCCAAATGACCACAGAACCCATTGAATTAATGGCTGATCAATAAGAGAAAGACTTACTTAAATCCCATTGATTCAGAGTCTGCTCTGTTTGGGACTAGTAACTGGATTTAGTCCTAAGGTTGTACTACCTGCAATCTATATCCTGATAAAAGGAAAGACACAGATTGATTGTGATTTGAATAATTTTTTCTTAAATCCTCTACTAAATCTGTGGTAATATTTAAAAGAGAAATCCGGGAGGGGTTGGGGAAAGAGAGTCATTGGTGGACACCTACCAAGGGTGTTTGGGCAAAAATGTTGTGCATGCTTTACAATGCAGTTATAAAGATCAAGAGTGAGGTGCTTCCGTGCTGTAGAAGCTCCTTCTGCTACCAATGGGAAACCTGAATAGAGAGGTGTGAAGATAATCTTTCTGTGGGAAAAAAAAGGATGTCACATTGGGAAAAGGGAAAGTTGATATCAGAAGAAGGGAAGGGATTGTATTGGTGGAGCCTTACCCTGTGACATAATCTAGTCCTCCTTTTCGGTCTTACAAGTCAATCTAGCCCTCTTTTCATAGCTTTGCTATATTTTGCTGTATCTTACTTGAAACATAAACCCTGCTGTGTTTAGTGGAGCTTAAGCCTTTGTGAGCATATGGAGGACTGTAGCTTTACATTTAGTAAATGCCGATTCTGGCCATTACTCAGTGGGAAAGAGTAATGTTCAATAGAAATAACACATTCCCAATCATGAGCAGCATTGGGCTGCCAAAATTCAAGGGATGCTGCAGTATGATCAATTGATTCCCAAGTAGCTGTCAAATGCACACTGCCAGGGTAGGCTGATTAACTTCTGCTCACTTCAATTTGACCCTAGTTCACAAAGGCAGAAGCTATGCCCTTCAAAACTTTTGCCTGCAAAGGGGGAAATATGCCTAGAAGAAGGGAAATGTGCTCACTGTCACTTTGATTTGATTGATAGCTGCTGAAAAGGCAATGTTTTACCACAAAATGAACCTGTAATCATTCCTGGCTTGCCAATGCCTCAACCACCACTTAAGACATTTCAGGAGGTACAAGCAATAAAGTAAACCTTCCGCAGGAAGCAGGATAAGCATGTATTTTGAAATCAGGAAGAAAAGCATTATACCATAATAGCAAAAAGAGCACAAGAAGAAGAAAAAGGCAGGAAAGATAACATCTGCAATCGACTTTTTTAATTCACTCACATTTAGATGGACAAGTTTGTAAAATAAGTTGAATAAGCAAGATATTGAAAGTGGTATTTAATGAAACTTTTTTTTATCTAGAATTAAGTTTTGCCCCATTAGGCCCAGTTATGAGACCCATTTGAGGAAGGCTCACAGTTTGGGCTGCAGTCCCTGGAAGGTGTTAACCCATTCAACATTGCACATCAGACACTTAGCTTGTGGAGAATAGTGGCGTGCTAAATGATTAATTTGCTTAAATTATTCCAACTATTCTTCAGCAAAATGTGAAGTACTGTGTTGACTAGTGGTAAGTATAAATGGAATGATACACACATTAATCTCTGAGAGATGGTATTGCTGTGTGGTAGGAAGCAGAGCTTGTGAAAATTCAGCATCCAGAATGCCCCCACCTAGTGGTGTCCATACAGGCTAGGAGATTCTAGGAGGTACAGTCCAGAAAAGTAACTTGTCAAATCTCTAATGCAAAAGGTATGTCATCATGCAAGCTAGGTTGCGTTGAATTTGGCATGATATATTAGTGGCCACAAATGTATGACAGCTAAATTGCTGCATAAAGTCCCATTTCAGGTAAAAACTGATTCTGACCCTCTGTTGGTAGAATGCACAGAGTTTGGCATGGCTTGGCCTATGATCCAGCTGCCCAACCGCTCTAGATGAATCCTCCCTATCACCCTGCCTGCATGCTTAGGAAAACACAGTTCTGATAATCATAGTTTACAACTGTGTGATGAAAACTTTTACTACTGATTATGGGAATCCAAGCTGATAAGACCAAGCCTCAAATCCAATTACTAGTCCCAACAAGAGTAGACCCATTGAATCATTGGCCTTTACATATAGGTTAACTTACCATATCAATTATGTCAATTTATTCTACTTAGAATTAGCAATAGGATTAAAGCCCAAATTATTTTATCCAGAGCATTTACTAAATCCAGTTATATATGTATGCCCACTTAAACAGACGTACATCTGGAAAATCTGGCACTACTGTACAGTATTAGGTTTGCCATAGGATACACATAGTTTAAAAACATGTGTACATGAAAGTACCTCTTTTTTGTTGTTTTTGAGGTATAAAATCTTTAAAGCCAGTGTGACAGCTAGACTGAGGTTACGGAAATTCAGATTCTAGTCTCACTAAGCCGTGGGACTCAGTGACCTTTGTTGCTGTTGTTTAGTCGTTTAGTCATGTCCGACTTTTTGTGACCCCCATGGAACAGAGCACGCCAGGCCCTCCTGTCTTCCACTGCCTCCCAGAGTTAGGTCAAATTCATGTTGGTAGCTTTGATGACACTGTCCAACCATCTTGTCCTCTGTCGTCCCCTTCTCCTCTTGCCTTCACACTTTCCCAACATCAGGGTCTTTTTCAGGGAGTCTTCTCTTCTCATGAGATGGCCAAAGTATTGGAGCTTCAGCTTCAGAATCTGTCCTTCCAGTGAGCACTCAGGGTTGATTTCCTGCAAAGTGTATAGGTTTGTTCTCCTTTGAAGTCCAGGGGACTCTCAAGAGTCTCCTCCAGCATTCCAGTGCAAAAGCATCAATTCTTCAGTGGTCAGCCTTCTTTATGGTCCAGCTCTCACTTCCATAC